TTATTTTTGGGGATTTTTGGAAATAACACATCTTCATTTTGGGATTCCAGTTAGAAACAAACTGGCAACGCTAGCTTTTGGTAGGAAGATTTGCTGTCCAATGTGAATTCAAAATATTAAAAAGCAATCAATCAGGTTTAAAAAGTGTATACTCCATATAATACCGAAAAATGGAATTTATCGTACTATTGTAAAAAACAGACCAATATTAGGAAGATTTGATACCCAATTAAAAACCTCGATCTAAATTGACATAGTGATAAAAAATACGAATGATCAATAGTGGATCACATTTTAAAATAGTGTCATATAATAATTTTTATTTATTTCAACATTAATATTGTATTCGTAATTTGTGCCGAAATCGTCCGACCACCCCGTCACTGAATTCTTGAATGATATTTGAAAACTGAATACTGAATTATTCAAAGGATAACAAGGTCGGTCATTTAGCCGATCGACCTTGTTATCATTTGAATACTGACAGATACAAACTGATCATTTATTTCCTTGTAATGACTTCTTATTAGAAAGCATTCCAAATTTCTCACATTACAAAAACAATTTAATTTTTAAAAAAATATGACAGGACGTGTTGTTTCTGTTTTTAGAAAATTATCATGTCTTAGTGTAGCCGTTAAAAAAATATATATATTTAATGCGTTTCTAATTGATTTGTTGGTAATTTGTAATAGCTCTAACAAGTGTTTGTTGTCAATAAAAAAATATATTTATATACCTTTGTTGTGTATAAATTAAGTGCTAAAATAAATTCCAAACATTCTGTCACACCTTGGGCGAAAACAATTTATTTTTGCAATTACGAATTATTTTTTAAAGCAACCAACGGAAAAATAACGTATATAATAAATAATAAGTACATTTTAATGAAGATACAATAATATATTTTTATTTTGAATGTGTCATTTATTAAATAATATCATTAACTACAACCGAAAATATTATTTTGAAGGTGTCATTTATTAAATAAAATTATTTACTTTAACCGACAAGGAGGAAAAAACTATCCACGATCCATAAATTATTAGGAGGCAAATGTATACTAAATTGATTATTTCGCAAAATATCCAACAGAGGAAATGAATAAAAATTTTTTATTTATTAAATTTAGCAAATAAAAGAGCGATATCGTTTTAATGATTTTTAAGAATTTAATTTCAAAACTTAGTTTATTGCTTGAAGAAAAAAATTCTAATTTCCAATTGATTTAATGCCAGTTTCTTCATTCTACCATCTGTTTCACTTGGTATGAATGTGTGTGTGTACATATGACGATTTTGTATGTTTTTATTTTTTCCCTGTTAATTAATTTTGTTTGTTTGTTGTGTTTGAGTGGCGTTGTTATTGAGTTATCCCTCCTCTGAGTAAGAAAACCTAGATATGGGTTTTCGGTGAGAATTCCAGTAGCCAACAAATAGCAACAATAATCCATTCACATTGGCGCACAATTAATTTTACATGCAAACAAAAGTGTTCTGTTTACATCTCTGTTTTTTTTTTTATCGAAAATATCTATCATGCTATCGTTTTTCTTACATTCATCCTCATTATCGTCAAGCAGTTGGTTTGTGTTAATATTTTTGTTGTTTTTTGTTTGGTTATTCGTTTGCACACACTTGGAGTTATACGTAAGAGACCCCATAAACGGTATATATTCTAGTTTAGAGTACAATTCTAGGGTTGTTTAGCCATGCCCGTCTGTCTGTTAAAATCAATATAGAGATTCCAATATTTACGATGTTTATTATTGAGAATTGGACCATAGCACTTGTTGATACAGTCCCCATATAACGGTACCGCTTCAGTTTTGATATTGGAGGATGAAAAACATCATTCCAGAAATTTGTTAATGTAGGTACATGTTTCGACTTTGACCCCATATAAAGTCTCCATGAAACGTGTTCTGATGGCCCTAAGCTTATTCTTGAAATAGTCCGATTTTTTCAACTGAACTGGCTACAATTCGGGGCTCGCGCCATTTTGGGTGTGTTTATGAACCATCTTAGGTATTTTGATGATAACTACCATTTCTCGATATACTGGAAGTCCTAGCTGAAATTCCGAATTCGGTGCTTCATTTTCTCTGGTGATAAAAAGAAACTTCTTGCAGACAATTTATATAGTATCATACTTGAAGTAACCCCCAACTGGACTTCTAACTACAATTCGGGGCTCGCCCCATTTTAGGTGTTTTTATGAACCATCATAGGTATTTTAATGATGACCACAATTTCTCGATAAACTGGAAGTCCTAGCTGAAATTCCGAATTCGGTGCTTCATTTTCTCTGGTGATAAAATGAAACTTCTGGCAGACAATTTATATAGTGTCATACTTGAAGTAACCCCTAACTGGACTTCTTACTTCATTATGAAGGAAATCAAAATTGGACTTGGACAAACTTTTATACCAATTTTCGTTTTCGCAGTCCCTATTACATTGGCTTTAGCAAAAAAAAAATATATATATATATATATATTTAAAAAGTTATTACGTTTTATTTTAGCAGTTTTCAAAATGAGACGTTTAGGATATTCAACGCCAGTTAGTGCCACAATTCGTTGTTTAGATTAGATATTAACAACTTCAATGAGTGTAGAGAAAAATCATTTTTAAAAGTGTGCCAGGATGTCGTGATTCCATAATTAGTGATTGATAGTGGACATCAATTATTAACAAATTGAAAAGGTTTTGAATTTGAACAATGTCAATGTTACCATTTTTAAGAGACAATATAAAAGCTAACATACATATATAGATTTCATTAAACCATTTACATATTGTCATAAAAACTCTCATAGTTTGTACAACTTATACTTTTTGACACAGTTCATAATTACTTATAATCCTGGAGACAAAATCTGGGTCATAGCATATTCAGTCAAAAATCTTCTCAAAAAATTAAAGTTTACAAGCCGACACATGGTGGGATAAAATTCCGATTTAGCGTGCAGAAAATAAAAGAAATGAAGTTGGGAGGGGCTCTGAAACAGTAGCACATACAGTGTTAAACTATAGTGTTGACCGCAATTAGTGGCGTAAAAATATATTCGATTAATTAGCCAGAACGGAATGACGGTACATTTATTTTCACTGCTTTTACAGCGACAGGTACAAGAAATTAAAATATAGGGAAAATACCAAAAAGTGGACCAATACCGACATTTCTAAAAAGGGATTATGTAAACCATAATAAAAATTTCAGAAATTTTCAACGGATAATTATACCCTCAGCCTTATGGCTAATGAGAGTTTACACACTTTAACATGGTGAAAATGTCGAAATATTCGAATAGAGATCATGTTTCTTTGGACTAAATCCGTTTCAGAAAATTTTGATTTCATCCAAACTTTGCCCATCTTATTATTCAAGTTCATGTGCGAAAATGGGGAATATCGGTCCACTCCTTCTGGAACCTCCCACACAGGGCATAGGCCTAAATGCGGGCTATAGTTCATATATAATTATCGAAAGTTACGTTCTAGTTATTTATCTCAATATCCTCCGCAGGCGAAGTGATTACAACAGAGTCTTAGAACCAAACCCAAAGCGCGAAACAAATCAGATAAATATTTTAATATAAAAATGGGTTATATGGGGAATACCCCAAAAAGGGGGCGAATATGAAAAATTTTTTGGTGGGGAGATTTGTTACCATATACGACTAAAAAATACCAAATTGCAGCGAATTCGGTTGAAAAACGCGCTCAAGAACCCCAAAATACCGATAATTGCGGGCACCCTTATATGCGGGTTATCCGAAAAAATTGACCTATATTCATAATTTTTTGTAAAGACATTTAGTATCCAATAAGAAACAAATGTATCAAATTTCAGCGAATTCGGTGGAAAAACGCGCTCAAGAATAATTTTTTGTGAGGAGATTTGGTACCTATTAAGAACTTAAAATACTAAATTACAGTCGATTCGGTGTAAAAATACGATCAAACCCCCAAAATACTGAAAATTAGGAGGTACTGATATATGAGGGGTACCAGAAAAAGTGGACCTATCTTTATAATTTTTTGTGGAGACATTTAGTACCCAATACGAACCTAATGTACCAAATTTCAGGGAATTCGGTTGAAAAACGCGCTCAAGAACCACAAAATACCGAAAATTGGGGGGTATCCTTATATGGGAGCTATGCCTAAACGTGGACCGATATATCCCACCTTCGAACTTGACCTGCCTGCAGACAAAAGACAAATCTATGCAAAATTACAACAGACGGACGGACGGACATGGCTAGATCGTCTTAGAATTTTACCCTGATCAATAATATATATACTTTATAGGGTCGGAAATAAATATTTTGATGAGTTACAAACGGAATGACAAAATTAATATACTCTCCATACTATGGTGGAGGGAATAATGACCGGAGCGAAATATATATATTTTTTTTTTGTGGCTTTTTGCGATTTCTGTACTTTTGTCAATTTTAAGTTTCGTTCTAATAAAATCTCGATTTTGGGCAAGCTTTTTGCATAACATATAAGAAAATAAAATTTGAAAAAGTCCGCCCTAGGTTTCAAATAGGGGACCCCATAATCTCAGATTGAAAGGATGTTTTATTATTTAATACGAACCTACAGCTACTCAATGCCAAATTTCGGTTGAATAATGCGGCTAACAACTTCAAAATACCGAAAAATAAATACGAAACGAAGTTTTTTGGATTCACTTTACTTGCAGCTTAACGCACTTGGTAGACGTGTGTGTCCCGGTTAAAATAATATCATTGAGCACCTCCTTACTGTTAATCATGCAACTTAATTCAATCCGACCTAGTCTCAGACCTAGATATAGTCCTATGTATAATATGGGCTGGTTTACATCAAATAGCGCACCAATGACACAACATTTCTATGCCGAACATTGTATTTTTCATAGTTGAACGAATCAAATCTAGAGCTCGTGTGTTACATTTATTCTAAATTCTTTATCGAAACTATAATAAAAATTGTAAAACTTACCACAAACATGCATGAACGTTTATAATGGGCACAGCCCGAACGTTGTGTTGGTAAAGAAGGTGATGATGACGATGAGTTTACTGTTGTAGATGGCGGTGAAGGTGACGTTACGTTGACTTCTGTTACCGTTGATCTGCTTTCCGATAGATTCGCATTATTCACCGATATTATTGGATTAGACTGTTGATGTTGGACATTTGTGATTTGTTGTTGTTGTGCAGGTGTGTTATGATTAGTTATGATTGTAACATCACTTTTTAAGGGATTCTGTATGTCCATAATATTACAGGCGGGTGTTGAAAGGGCTTTGCGCAATATCGGTTTGTATTCATCCAAATCATCCATGGTATAGTCCATCTTATGGGTCTTATTTTCGAGTAGTGATAAATGCTGTTGATTCATTATTAAAGCTTGAGGCAGGGCGGTGTGACGTCTACGATTAAGTGGAGATTGAGCCATGGAATATTCTAACGCATCCATGGCTATGGACAGGGGTGTGTTGGAGGTATTGAGATGTGTATGACTGTTGCTAGTTGCGGTTTTCATTATTGAACAGTAATTCGAGATTTTTGTTGCTATATTCGAATTTATGGTATTTAAATTGATTTGATTGAAGTCTTCGATTTCTTGGTGAACAGCCTCTATGTCGTCTTCGATGACCATCAATTGTGACGATTGTACAATTGATGATAACGAAGAGCAGCTAGATGATGATGATGATGTTGATGACGACGACGACGAACCAGTCATATGTAGAAAAGAGGAAGATCTATCGGATGATGAACAGAGACAATGATGTTTGCCTCCAATATTTGTTGAGTAATGTTCCTCCGGAGAATATTCTCGTTGGCATGTCAGCTCTACTCTGGAATTGGAGGTTTGATTTTGCATTACAGGTGCATCCATATTTTAAAAATAAATGTTGTGTTTATATTTGTACAGATACGTTTAAACGTTTTTTATTTGTTTCAGTCTCAGATTTTTTTATTAGCCACTTGCACCAGTTTCTTATTTTTGTTTGTGTGCCTTATTCGTAATTGTAAATATTTATTGCACGTCTCCTGAATTCTTGTCATCGGTTTATTTGTATTTACTTAATTGTCACCTGAATTAAATATTCGGCTTTAATTTCAGCACAACAACTGGGCGTCAATGAAATCTGTTTAAGAAAATGAAAGATATTAAATGTGATTGCTTAATATTTGTTAAACACTTAAAATATAACACAATTTTTGTGGTTTTTTAGGTTGCCATGTCTGTTAGCACTTCAACGTCATCGACGAGTTTTTGCTTCGAGACGGGACGTTCAGCGTCAAAACAGCGTTCTTAAAGTTAAAATTGCCAAAGTGTGATATTATTTGATGTCAAGACAATATATTGATATATTCCAAATAAACAACAACATTTATTAACAAATATAAAAAAAATATCGAGCATAAGTCGTTTGTATACCCATCACCACACTGTGAGAGTGGATATTATATGTTTGTAACATGCAAAAGACATCGAGATTGACCCATTTTTATGCCCTCAACGATAAGGTGGGGTGTATATTAAATTTGTCATTCCGTTTGCAACACATCGAAATATTCACCGGAGATACCAAAGAGTGTATATATTTTTGATCAGAATAAAATTCTATGTCGATTTACGCATGCCCGTCTGTTGAAATCACGATAGAGATCGCAATATTTAAGATAGAGCTCTGAAATTTTGCAGACATTAATAGTACTCCTAGAATGTTTGGTATCGCAAATGGAATATATCGGTCCATGTTTTGGTGTAGCCCCCAATTTTAAATATTGAGTTCTCATTGCACAAAAAAATGTTAAATATTCAACCATGTTGAAGGGTTCTCATAATATAGGAATTTTTGACACGTTTTTCAATCAAATTAGCAGTAATTTGGTATCTTGGGTTCTCATAACGATATCACCACATCTTCGCAGTGAAAATATATTAATATTGACCCATGTCAGTATTTTGACAATTTTAGACACTTTTTCAACCAAATGGCTGTATTTTGGTATTCGTATTCTCATTGGCTGTTAAATCGCCCGTCCGAACTTGTTAAACATAAGCATAGAATCACTTTCTGTGTCGATTTATGCATGTCTATCCATCCGTCTGTCTGTCCATGTATTTGGTAAACAAAGTACGCACTATGGACCAGAGATCCATTTTTTTTGCCATAATTAGACCTGTGGGTTTATGAAATAAATAAATATCACATACAAGGGTTTCGATGGCACTGATTACTCCGGAGCACGTTTTGTAGAGCTGTGGTCACTAATTACAAATGTGAAATCAGATAAAATAAAAGTAGGTTATATGGCGACTACCCCAAAAAGGGGGCAAATATTCAAAATTGTTGGTAGGGAGATTTGTTACCATATACGACTACAAAATACCAAATCGCAGCAAATTCGATTGTAAAACGCGCTCATGAATATCGAAAACTGGGGCTACCCTTATATGGGCGCTATCCGAAAAAATTGACCTATACTTATAATTGTTTGTGGAGAGATTTGCTACGCAATAAGAACTCAAAGTACCGAATTTCAGCGAATTTGGTCGAAAAATGCGATCAAACCCCCCAAAATACCGCAAAATTAGGGGTACCCTTATATGGGGGCTATCCGAAAATATGGACCCATATTTATAATTTTTAGTGGAGAGATTTGCTACCCAATAAGAACTCAATGTACAAAATTTCAGCGACTTTGGTTGTAAAACGCGCTCAAGAACCCCAAAATACTGAAAATTTGGGG